GGGGGGGGTAGGTGTGTGGGTGTGTCTCGGGGTCATGAATGGCTGTATATTCACACTCAGACTAGAGGAGGAGATTGGGTGACTTGCTCTGTCATGTCACTTTACAACTTATTCTCTTTAGATAGGGTCCCCTGCCCCTGGGCTATATTTAACTCTTTGGTTTGTTTGTTTTTTGTTTTTCAAGACAGGGTTTCTCTGTGTAGCTATGGAGGCTGTCTTGGCACTGGCTCTGGAGACCAGGCTGACCTTGAACTCACATAGATCTGCCTGCCTCTGCCTCCCAAGTGCTGGGATTAAAAATGTGTGCCGCTACCACCTGGCTCATACTTTCTATATGAGAGTTTTGGGTTCTTTCATGTACAATAACCGGTTTTACACACGGAACCACCTCACCAACACCCTCCCCCCTTCTCCCCCACTCCTTTGTTTTGGCCTCATACAGCAGAGCTCAGGCTGGTTTTGAACTTGTGTATCTCAGGGTGACCTTGAGCTCGGAATCTTCTGTTTCCACCTTTAAGTGTCAGGGTAACAGTTACATTCCACCAAGCCTAGCTTAGGAAATGAGAATTGTCACCATTATCACATGGGAGGCCTCTGGGGACACGAGAATGTAGGATTTAAGGCTCTGACGGGGTTGTCTGTCTGGGGTACCCCACTCTGCTATCTTACTGCCTTTGTCCCCATTTTTCCCTATTCTTCTGGGAACCCAGAATTGGAAGAAGTTTGGCTACTCTGAGTTTGACCCACCGGGGCCCAATGTGGCCACCACCACAGTCAGCGATGATGTCTCCATGACATTCATCACTAGCAAAGAGGTGAGCAGGGTGAAGCTGGAGACCCAGAAGTGCAGTGGGGGTGGGGTGGACAGCGGCCGGCTCTGAGCCACTCTTCCCTATTCCCCACTAGGACCTAAACTGCCAGGAGGAGGAAGACCCAATGAACAAGCTCAAGGGCCAGAAGATTGTGTCCTGCCGCATTTGCAAGGGCGACCATTGGACCACCCGCTGCCCTTACAAGGACACACTGGGGCCCATGCAGAAGGAACTGGCTGAGCAACTGGGCCTGTCTACTGGGGAAAAGGAGAAGCTTCCGGGAGGTATGGGCCTAGGGCATGGGAGGGGCCTCAACACTTTTTTTTTTTTCCGAGATAGGGTTTCTCTGTGTAGCTTTGGAGCCTATCCTGGCACTTGCTCTGGAGACCAGGCTGGCCTTGAACTCGCAGAGATCCGCCTGCCTCTGCCTCCTGACTGCTGCGATTAAAGGCGTGTGCACCACCAACGCCTGGCTAACTTTGTGGTGTGCTGTTTTCTTTCTCTGTGGCCATGTTGGTGCAGCCTATGCCTGGGTACCCTCATAGTTACCTCGTTTGCTTGGGGCATGGTCATTCCTATGTATATGTGGCTGGTGACTTATTCTAACGCGCGCGCGCGCGCGCGCGCGCGCGTGTGTGTGTGTGTGTGTGTGTGTGTGTGTGAGAGAGTGTGTGAGTGTGTGTGTGTAGGGAGTATCCGTGTGCTGAGCTCACTGGCTCTGTAGGTCAAAATCTAATGTGCCATGTATGTAGCTGCCTGTTGGTGACTTGTGACTTGTGTGGAGCTTTGCCTCTCACCTATCATGAACAGCCCAGGGACACCCTCTGTCATAGCCTGTAGTCTGGGCTCTGAGAGCCTGGTGTTCTCTAGCTCGTGGGGCTCTGCAGTGCTGGGCTGTGGGTGCCAGCACCACACCTGTCCTGTAGCTTGCTCACTTTACCCATACTGTCTCAGTGGAGACTTTGAAGGGTGGTAGCTTCTGGATGTGACCATTGGGGTCACCAAAGCATGACTGAATGCCTGTAGCTCAGGGCTAGGGCTGAATGTGACTTTGTCCACTGCTTTCCAGAGCTGGAGCCTGTGCAGGCCACCCAGAACAAGACAGGGAAGTATGTGCCCCCGAGTCTCCGGGATGGGGCCAGTCGCCGTGGGGAGTCCATGCAGCCTAACCGAAGAGGTAAGAGGCTAGGAATAGCCTAGGTAGCAAGTACATAACTAGACACCCTGTAATTATCCTGTGTTGTGGGTGTGGGGTCTAATGTGGCGTTCTTCTCACCACCAACTCACCTTCCCTGCCTTGCTCACATAGCCGATGACAATGCCACCATCCGAGTCACTAACCTGTCTGAGGACACACGTGAGACTGATCTCCAGGAACTCTTCCGGCCTTTTGGCTCCATTTCTCGTATATACTTGGCCAAGGACAAGACCACTGGCCAGTCCAAGGTGGGTGGGTTGGTCTGGGGAATGGGTAGCTGGATAGTACTGGTTCTGGGACCCACTTCTTACCCTCCGGCCCTGACTATCTGCCCTTGGCCCCCAGGGTTTTGCTTTTATTAGCTTCCACCGCCGGGAGGATGCTGCACGAGCCATTGCAGGGGTGTCTGGTTTTGGCTACGACCACCTCATCCTCAATGTTGAATGGGCCAAGTAAGATGTCCTCCCCACCCTTCCCACATCCTCTGTAGCTCACTGTGGTTCTGTATCAGTTGTGTGGTTGTCGGGCCTATCTGAAGGAAGGTCCTTTGTTGTGCTCTGGGAAAACCTTTGCCAGATTTGATACCACTGTTCCTAAGCAGGCAAGGCCCGGGCTTCCCTGGTGTGTGACTGTGGAGTCTCGGGTACCCTTCAGGGTCACAAGTCCCTGGCTGTATTCTTAACCTCCTCCCTCCCTCTTTCTAGGCCATCAACGAACTAATAAGACACCTGCTGCCTGCTGCTGTCACCCAGACCCTCAGGGACAGAAAGCTTCCATTAAATAGACTCCAAACACACTTGTTTCTTGCTTGTTCTCATGGATCTCCATTGTCGGGGGTGGGGGTGGGGATGGAGGAAGAGCTGATCCCTGCCTCAGGCTGAGGTCTTGTAAAGAATCTGCCTCAATGGGAGGCAGCCTCCACTGATAAGGGGGTAGCTGCACCTCAGGGCTGTTGTCACAACCCCGTCTGTGAGGAGGAGGCTTCAGGGCTCAGCTGGCTTTGGGAAGTGGTTGCGCTTGCTAGAGGCAGGTCTTGGTGAGGGCTCTGGTCCTCAGGGTCCCCATGGCATGAGTGGCAGTTCAGGCTCGGCGCCACTGCCATGTAGAGCAGCGGGTGCATGCATGTGGCCAGGGGCACAAGGATGCGCGTTGTCTGGTAGCCAAAGAAGGCCCTTGGGTTTAGCGCTGCCTTGGCCTGTGACTCAGTGGAGAATCCGGGGCAGAGAGCCTTCCAGCTCAACAGGGAATTCACATAGAGCACTTGTGTGATGTGGTAGGGTACATAGGAGCAGGCGTAGAGAGCCACACCACTGGTCACCAGCACTACCACATGCAGCTTCTGGGCTGTGGTCATGCTCAGGCTGCGCAGCACCACTGACCCCAGTGCACTGTAGGCCATTAGTGTGAGCAGCAGAGGCAGGATGCCTCCCAGGCATGCCAGCACCAGGCTGTAGTTTCTGAAGGTCTCTATCTGGCTGTCCTCCATCATCCCCAGGCACTTGACACAGGCCTCGCGATTGGTGTTATTGCATGACCCAGGTTTTGACTGGGGCTGGTTCTGATGGGAGAAGCCCAGCATGGGGGCAGCCAGCAGGATGGCCATGGCCCAGCTGGCAGCACTAATAACCCAGGCGTGCTTGGGCCGCAGGTGTCTTCGTGTGAAGAAAGGGTGCACAACCACCATATACCGGCTGAGGCTGATGCAGGTGATGAAGATGATGCCACCCAGCAGGTTGCAGGTGAAGACAAAGCGCTCCAGGCGGCAGGCCACCTCCCCAAAGCTCCAGTTTTTGGGTGGGTAGAAGTAGGCAGCCAGAGGAGGTAGCGTGAATGAATAGCACAGGTTGCTGACTGCCAGCTGTGCAGAGAAGACCACAGCCGGGTTCCAGGGCCTTTGCTCTTGGGTGATAAAGCGGAACAGGGCTAGGCCATTGCCCCCTACTGCCACCAGGAACTCTGCCATCAGGATGGCCCAGAGGTAGCCCTCCTGAAAGCGCCTGTACTCCTGTTCAGCAGCTTCCACGTATTTTTCTGGGCAGTCACCTGTGGGCACAGTAAACGCCTGAGCCACAGCCTGCCTCAGCCCAGCTCCTGCATGGCATGCATACCAATTCCCGAGAGTGAGTGGTGAGCAAGTGGAGGCCTGCATGTAAATGCAGCCTGGCAGGTCCCCATTGCCACCTCAAGGGGACCAGCCTACCTTCAGTCTGGTTTTGAAACAAGCTGGGGTAGCCGTGAGACCCTGTACTGAGTCTGCACAGAAGCCTGCAGCCACCATCCAAGCAGGCCCCCACCACACTACCCCTCTGCTAGCACCGGGGTGTATATTCAACAAGAGGGTACCCACAGGTATCAGCCAGGGGCTGCTACTCTCTAAATTCCTACCATTTCCCAACTCTGAGCCTTGCTTTGTTCCTACACACTTAACCATTCCTATTGAGCAGGTAGCCTCTTCAAAATACCATATGCAGTTCAGAAAGACTGCTTCAGCAGTCTGTAGCACCTACCCCTGATCCTTAAAGAGATGTCCCTCCAAGCTAGTGTCTAGTAGGATCTGGTCAGCACACATCCCATGTCTTTTTTCTTTTTTGAGACGGGGTTTCTCTGGCTTTGGAGGCTGTCCTGGAACTAGCTCTTGTAGACCAGGCTGGTCTCCAACTCACAGAGATCCGCCTGCCTCTGCCTCCGAGTGCTGGGATTAAAGGCGTGCGCCACCATTGCCTGGCATGTCCCATGTCTTAACTGGCCAAACGTTAGCTTACCTACCTGAGAAGGCAGCCATGGTCCTCACAGCAGCTCTGGGTTACAGAAGGTCCCTCCTTGGTTCCCAGCAGTGTGGCCACTGGCCCATCTCAACTTGTACAGCCAGTCAGGGTGACACCTCCCACTTAGCCCACTTTCTCCTTGTACTATCTGGGCTGAGCCTGTCTCTCGGCCTGTCACAACTAAGTACTGTTAGCCCCAGTCCCGCCCCAACTAGTGAGACAGACTCAAAACGCCATGTTGAGGTTTATTGGAGGTGAGAACTGGGTAGTTCCTTTATGAAAGGAAACCAGGCTGCACTGGAGCCCAGGGCAGCTCCCAAGCCCCAATGTGGGGCATCCATGGTCCATCCACTGCCAAGCAGGATCAGGTTCTTCTTGATGGCTGCCCCAGGTTGCGGCGTGTGGCTCTGGGTCCCAGCTTGGTCTTGACTCCTTGGGATCTACCCTTTGGTTTTGGAGGCCGCCAGTTGCCACCTTGACCTCTGCCTGAAACAGGCCTCTGTTTCTTCTCTTGCTGTTTCTTGCCTGGAGGACCTCCCTGCCGTCTCCGCTTGGCCACTCTGGGGAACATGTCTGTAGGGAGAGAATGGTCAAAGTCCTCAAGAAGGAATGAAGGGCCTCCTTGGGAGTCAGCACCACAGACCCCGCCACACACCTTCATCAGGCTCCTCGCCCACAGCTTGGCGAAAATACTCAGCGTCATCCTCCTCCTCTTCCTCCAGCCGCCCTGCCCCCACCGCCTCTAGAGGTGCCCCAGGGTCCTCGGCATCACTGTCGCCATCTGTCCTTGTCCGGGCTCGCTTCATGCCTGCCAGGCTCTTCTTCCTGGAGGACAAGAGTGTCACGGGTTAGGGTGTTCGGGTTCCCACACACCTTCCGCCCTCAAGCCTTTGCATACTTGTGGGCTTCTCGAAGTTCCCGCTTGCGTTCTAAGTTCTCAGCCTGCTGGTTCTGACGCTGTGCCTTGAGCTGTAGTTTCTCCTCCTTTGCTGCCAAGATGGCCTGCAGTTCCTCCTCAGTCTTGTGCACTGTGACCAAGACCAGACATACCTGTCAGGATCACAATGGGATCTAGCACCATTCTGACAGGCTGGCCTTACCCTGCCCTCTTACCAAAACTGTGGAAGAGGACATTGCCATTCCCAACACCTTCTTGGATCTTAATGAGCTGTAGTGTCATCCGGGGCCCAATCTAGAGATAATGGATGAGGGTCAGGCTGGCCTCAGGACTGAAGGCCGTGGGAGCCACCCCGAGCCGCACCTCACCTCTGTAAGTCTGATGGCACTCTGCTGGGCCTGCATGTTGCCACGGCCAGCCACAGCCTGGGGCAGTTCTGTGATATTGTGCTCACCATCTGGTTCCGCCTCACTCTCCGACAGCCCCGCACCCCTGTGTGGGACAGCAGGTTACCTTCAGCGCTCCACAGACCAGCTATGGGACCCCTGCGCTCCAATTGCCACCCACCCAGAGCCTTTCTCACGTGGCCAGCAGCTCACTGATGTCCTGCAGTCGGCTCATGTTGGGAAACTTCTCCTGTAGGAGCTTTTTCATGCCCCGGCTTGCACCCACAGGCACCACTTTGATGCTGCTGCAATGGTAGGAGCAGAGGGAGGAGTGAAGAGCCTCAGGGTCCAAGGTCAGTTCCATACCCTCCCGCTTCTGTGCATGCATCAGGGCGTTTACTTTGAGTCTGAGCAGTCACATGGTCTCAGCAGCAGAGTTCTCATCAGGCGCATGGGGTATCCCACCTCGAGTCCCTCCCACCAACACTCACTAGTGTCGGAAGTCCAGCTCTTGGGAGTCCGGGTTGTAGTTAATAAGGAGGCAGCGCTTAATGGTGTTCAGGTTCACCTGGGGGGCCAAGAAGAGGTTCCAACCAGGTACCTGTACTGACTCCTGCCAGCAGCCCGAATCTGTGGAAGGCACTTGGAATGCTCCACGGGGTTTGGGGCTGCAATCAGTGTCTACAGACTGTCTGGAGCACTGGCTAAAAGGCTCAGTTGCAGGAACCACCAAAGTCAACCTTCAGACTTCTTCTAAGTGGCACCTTGTAATGAGCCTAATCTGAGAACCACCGGGCCAGGTTTAGCAGCTGAAACTAATTCTGCTGGGCTCGGTGGCTGGGCTAACATAAGGCCCTTTGTCAAGAAATGTGGCTAGGATGGGTGGAGTGCTTGCCTACCATACACAAAGTCCAAGTTTGATTACCAACACCTGAAATCAGGTGTACACCACTCAAGGTGTACTAAGCATGCAAGAGATGGAGAGCTACTAGTTCAAGTCCAGCCTCAGTCACACAGCAAATTGGAAGACAGCCTGAGGTACAGGAGATCTTGTCTCAGTAACAAAATCACACCAACTCCAGCCCTGCCTTTGAATTTGAGATCAAGTCTCTCTACACAATAAGGACACAACACGGGGCCTGCAACACCCTACCCAACTGCCCACCCCAGCGGCTGCCAAGAGATGTGGCCCACCGTGTGCACGTTGATGGATGGGAACAGGTTCTGGAACATGGTGGCCATGAGCTTGATGTGCATGCCCTGGGGGCTAAAACTGTTGAGCACCAGGAGGGGTGGGTGGTTAAACTGCTGCTCGTGCATCCGGTGTCGCCGCAGGGAAGAGACAACGTCTCGTACCAGTGTGTACTGAGGGGAGAGTGGAGGCTGAGGGCCATCTGCGTGGCCAGCGCCCCCCCAGGCAAGCTATGCTTTCCTATCACCTGTACCCCTCACCTTGTTGATCTGGAAGGTCAAAGTCGGGCCTCCCGGGAGGCGCATCAGCTTCTGCCGGAGAAAGGATGGGTGAGGCTGGAGGGGTCTGGCTAGGAGGTAGGCGGGCAAGGGGGAAACCTGCTCCATTGCTTCAGAGCGTTTACTTTGAAGCCAGCATCACAACAGCTCAGGGCAGTGGGTTCATCATGAGGCTGGAGCAGACGGGGACAGGGAGGGACAGGCATGGTTCCCACTCACCAAATACACACTGCTGTCTGTTTTGCTCAAGATAAGGAAGTGCGTGACACCGAGGGGGCCAGCTACTGCCACACAGTCCTTCAGTGAGTTCTTCTTTCGAACCTGATAATTAGAAAAAGGAACAGATAATAGATACGTCTTATTGAGCAAACATGCTTAAACGGAGGCTTCTGAGATGTTATTTCTAACCCGCCCCCCAACTTTCTGGGGGTACAAGAGTCTTATCTGTTTCTGAGTTATAGCCCCAGCACTCAATATAATTTTTACAAAGTATTACTTTGCGGGCAATCGTGCAGGGGGCGCACAGGTGGAGGTCAGAGGACAACCTTCACGAGTTGGTCCACCCCTTCCACTACGTAGGTCACGCGGACTGAACTCGGGCTTAGCAGCAATCCCCCCTGGCCGCGGAGTCCTCGCTAGACTGCGCCCCCCATGCCCCGCGCCTTTTCTCTTGCACACACAAGACCTCACCATATACCCACGGCTGCCCCCCGCCCCCCAAGG